AAAGCTTGTCAAATTTCAACAATTTCTGTAGACTACTTCCTTGTTTCAGTTTGTAGAACCTTGTGAACCCTCTAACGACAAAATTATGATCTGATCTGTATGGAACTGTCTTGTAAAGGCCCCCAATTACCTACAAAGGAATAGATATGCGACAACCCTCGTATTATATGAAACACACCCCTTTGTATATTGAACTTGGTAGACGTAATGTCTCTGCCAGGGCAGAACTACCATCAATGACACTGTACAAGTAGCTGTGGAAATACAAATAACCATGAGTGTGTTTCAGAATAACTTAATATCAATAGACAACTTGGGGCAAAAGCACACCCACATCGGTAAAGTAAACCTTTTTATACGATTACAATAATAATCAACCATTTAAGGTAAGGGGGGGAACTCCATTATTCCCCGGAAATGATTTGGCACAGGAAGAAAACTAAAAATTGGTATGAAAAGGAACAGAAAACAAACATTCACATTTAGTGCCTGTATTTTGGTGTTCCAAATGTGCTTGAGTTGATACTGAACAACAAAAAATGGATGGAAATCAAAATTAATGATTTTGGAATTGGTAACTTTAGAAAATATAGGATAAACAATACAGCTGGGGAATCACAAAGTCTCACAGAGATCATCAAGACTTCATATTTTGAAAACTGTCTTAGTTTAGCATACCAAGTCCATAACAGGGGCCGCGGAACAGGGGGGGGGCTGCGGGGGCTTCGGCCCCCCCTTTTTTTTTGCAAAAAAAAAAAAAAAAAAAAAAAATTCGTTATTTCGTCCCATTCTACATTTATAATAATATAACTAGCATTATTCTCGACATGGATAACATGAGTGGTGAGTCATGGTCAGTTTTTCTTTCGTGATAGCAGGAGGGTTTTGGGTTACTTAAAAATGCAAAAAATCACATCAAAGTTTCGAAATTTTCTCGGGGCCTTTAAGCGGGCCGCAAACCGCACGCCAGAAGCTTCCAGCGCCTGCGGCGCCTCAAGCAATACGCTCTCACGTCGCTACGTGAGTCGTGACGCTTCGTTTTCGGGACTTCGTCCCTCAATTATTTTTGTCAGACCCCCCACTTCAGAAATCGCTCCGCGGCCTCTGCATAATATAATCAAACTTTCTTTTTCAAAATATCTTCCATTTCCTTGAAACTGCTTTTGTGTTCAGCTATTTCTATAATGATACACACTGTTAACATTTTATGACTTCTCAATTCAACCTTCGAAACTCGACTGTGCCTCGAAACATGTAAAGATACACTGACAATTAAACATTGGACGTATTAAGTTTTGTCATAAATTTTATCCAATATGTTTAATCTTAGATTGTACACTAACAGTCCACTGTTGAATGCGGAAATGTCCAGCTGAATGGTTGGTTGGAAAATATGATATGTTGCAAATGGAACTCCATAGAAAATGATTTGCACCACAAAAATTATATCTATTTAACAAATTCTATATCAAACCCTCAAAATGATTATTATTCGAATATAAATGAATAATAATCTATCAAAAATTTAGAAACGAGCCTTTTTGTTAACATTTACCAACACTTGACAATGGCAACCATGATAGTTTAGATTTTGACAGTTCAGTTTTCATCAATTTATAGACCGCTCCATATGAATAATGCTGATATTAAAAGATGAGACAGTTATTACAAATGAAGGTCAATAGTCTATAATATTACGATTTACCACCCGATTTATCGATTATTGTGATAGTATAAGTTAAAAAAGTATTTACCTAATCTTTATTTACCTTTCCGTGTCGAATTGCTGCTCAACGGAAGTGCTGATTACGACAACGAGTTCAGGAATAATTTATTTTTAATATCACCAATTCACGTAAATGACACCTCATTTGTATTCTGATATGAATTTATCTTATTCCGTAATTGTTGAAATTAAATATTTAAAAATTTGTATTTTGAATTAACACTGGGCTCATTTAGCATAAGTTCAAGGACGTTTTGAAATTAGGAGGCGACGATATTACGTGAAGACAATGTTTACGTTTATAAAACGGTGAAGTCTTTTATTACTAAACGGAGTCTCTAACTCAATATCATCAAAACATTTCGACATTGAAAACACGAATTATTTGTCAATTCAAATCAACATTGGTCTGGTGATCTTACAGAGAAAAGATGGGCTTCTGATATCCAATATTCAAGACAAAATAAACATTTTACCATCGTGTACCATAATGCGTTTCAGCGCCATTTGGAACAGTCAAGGGACTCAAAGAACGCGGCTAGACATATTCCACAAGTCATGTCAAATGGTGTCGCTATATTCTTATCTGGAGAGCATGCACAATGAATGACATAGGTGTAGACAGGAATAACCAGACGCTAAATATTGCCATTCATTTGAGACTTCTGGCGTATTTCGCCGAACATAACTGATTAGAAATTACAGTAAAAACAGAAACGGTTGAATGTAAATCAGTTTATATACATTCACATTACATTATTATATGCGTTGCAACCCATTTGTGTCAATTTCTAGGTCCCAAATATTAGAGATTTAGCTCCTTTAACTATTATTCGCATCGTTCGTCTAAAGATATAAAGGGTCATTTTCAAGATTGAAAAAAAAAAAAAAAATGGCGGACCCGGCCCGCGTGGTAGCAAGGATGCGGAAATCTCACACTACGTGGAAACGGGAAAGCAACTCGACAATCTAAGACTGACTACTGTAATACATGTATGAGAGTATCAAAAAGTGATCATGGCTGTCCCCATGATAACACGCCGGTGTACCATTTAAAGGGGTATATTAACAGTGAAATAGTGTATTGTGAGTAATATAGTAAATTTTAAACTTTTAAAAAATGAAATGAAATGGCGTGTGTGTGGTGGGTGGGGTGGGGGCTGTCTCTCTCCCAGAGCTTGGGGGTTATTGAAAAAATACTATAAGATAAATGGTCTCTAGCGTCATTTTGGCGTATATTTGGGGTAATTGGAGGCAAGGGCGTGGATTTGTCATAACTTTTTTTTTGGGGGGGGGGGGACGGACGAACCCTGGAACCCGGAACATTTCATTACCAAACGAAATAAATAATTACGAACAGTTTACTGTACCAGTGTTATTTCAATGAAGCCTGTAACTAGGGGTCATATGATGACAATATGGAAAATTTGACTACCTACATCAAATATATAAATATTAATTGTTCATGAAGGTAAGTGAATCGTCCAAAGACATTCATTCTACGATCAGGACTGTTCTTGTTGAATATCTTGGCGACATGAAGGGGGTCATTATGCCATCAAGTGATCCAGTCGGTTTTGCGTCATGGAGTTGCGCAGCCAAGTTTTTATACGCTGAAGGATCGCTCGACTGAGCAGGAACTAGCAGGGTTCAGCAGTGTGAGATGAGAAGAGCTTTGACGGATGGGAACATCTGCCTCACTTCAGGTAACATAATGAGGAACGCTTCGTGCACTAGTGAAATAGATTTGGCCGAAAACTGGCACTTAAAGAATGGCAATTCTTATTCCAAGTCCCGATTCTGTTCCAGATACGTAGAAACAAGCTCACCATCATGTGGATATAAACCTGAAAATCTGTCCTGGCGATCAAAATCATGGGGGGGGGGGGCAGAGACCTATTCGTCCCCCCTTCCGATTCTAAAGGCGCCCCCCACCCCTAAATCCACGCCCATGATTGGAGGTCACTTGGTTCAAACGCATTGGTCTGAAATTGGGAAGTGTATCGAAAAGACAAAAGTGAAAGTTTCGCTTTCATTTTCATTATTAAAGATAGGATACCAGTCAGCCTACCTAGAGCGACCGATAACCGTGGACGTGATCATTGTAGCGTTCTACAGGCCCGGACTTGGCCCCGAATACCTGCCGAGGCCCGGACGCCCTGTTAGTGACAACAGCCTCAAACGAAACGAAGTCGGGCCGGGGCCCACAGCGCGAAGGTCCGGAAAGGTGGCTTTTAGTTTTTAATTCACCAATTTTTCCCAAAAAGTTGACTGACAGAATTTGAGAAGATTCGGACAGGAGACTTATAGTTTTTAATTCACCAATTTTTCCAAAAAATGTGGACTGACCAAATCCGATTCTAATCCTACCCAAGCCACTGGTACCCATGCACATTCAGAAAAGTCACCGGTAATCTTCTGCTTTACGATCAAGTAACAGTTGTTGTTTTTTATTTATCAATTTCTACTAACAAATTGCTACCAAACATTACTCGGTATACCTCCGGGTCCCTCTAGGCTCCTGGACAAATATCCCAGTTGTTCAGCCGCCCCCTTCACCCGGGCTCTGTGGTCAGACACAGTGGCAGAGGGCCGAGTTGTGAAGAGACACAAATGGACTAAGACTAGTAATGTAGTGCGAGTTATAAATAGACAATTTTTCCCTTAATTTTTTTCTCCCCTCTTCCTGCATTTTGGGGTTGACTTTTTGGTCTAAAATTGGAGAAAAGGGATCAAATTTGCAATTTCATAGCAGTTTTGGGTAATACTGATGATATTACAGCGGAGGGATAGGGGGTGTAAAGTTACTTTCTGCAGAGCAATCATTGTGTCGGAAGTGAGATTTTCACCCCAGTCAACTTCAAATCCGTGTAGCAAAAAATCTAAATGGTCAACCCCCTACAAAATTATGATGAGGAGATTGCCAAATGTTGTCCCCATTGTGCCTATAAAGATTGGAACCAACGGATGTTGAGAAAAAAGCTACAGCCTGTGATGTTACAGCTATTTAACATTGAAGTCAATGGGCAAATAATTGCTAGTCTGAGACCAAATTATCCTACTTATAGTTAGCTCCCCTTGATGTTTTAAAATGTGGTTATCTCCCCTTTCACTCTCAACGAATCGGAAGAGATACGAGAATATCCGTATGACATTAATTGGCATAGTGTACAAATTAAATGCTATTCTTTCCAGAACAAAGCTGAATCAGTAGTACGACTATATGAAAGCAAAACGCCGTCGTTGGGTGAATAACAACATCAAGATGACTGTATTAAGATTTTATGAATTATAATCTTTATTATATATTACTATATAACAGGACAAAATTTTACACGTATTGGATTAGTTTCAAACATTGTATTGCTTCATCTTTAATTTGACATACATATAACCAAGGCAATGACAATACTTATTTTTTCTCATTGTCGTTTCCTTGTTATAATGAAGATGACACAAAACTGTAGACTTTATATCGTCAACACAAAATACAATATAAGTAACCATTAAAGATATATTCCTCTGGCAACCAGCATCGTAATTATGCAACAGTCCACTAAATGACGGATCGATCTTCATCTTGGTCGTACTATATGGCAAATTAAAACGCACTTGAATTGATAATGAGATTGGTTGATGTGGAGATTCGAGATAGGTATATCATGTTATTCCTTCAATTACAAGTTTACCACACTGTAGGTCATTAATAAAAATAAGTAATGGGGTTTAACTGATGACATATTTATCACTAAAGGAATATATCTTTAAAGGCCTCTGATTGCTAAACTAGGTATTTATACAAAATACAATGGCAAGTTTGTCAATAAATTACATTTATAATATATGTCAATAATTATATTTCAATAAATGTTACTCTTTAGGTGAAAGGGGAAGAGTGTGTAAATATGTATGGGATAAACACATTAATTCAATAATTATATCAGATCTTGGCCTTTCCTTCGATCCATTATTAAGGTTGGTAAAGGTGGCGATATAATTGTCGTATAACTAGATGATCGACACTGAAAACCATTTTATCAATTTGATAACTATCACAAAAAGAACGATATGTTCGGGTCTATTCAGTATTGTAGACCTACACCAATTATCCCAACCTTACCAATTGAAGCTAATGCTTACCTGAACCGCGAGAAAGGTTGTGATTCAATGGGTTTTTTTTAAATTAGCTTTAAATTTGAAAAACAATCTTAATAGCCTCACTGATATGGGTTACAATATACAGAACAATCTAGTACTATTCAGGCCCTTGGTGAAATACTAGCACTAATACCTACACATGACTAGTTCAGTAAGCAGGTCTAAAAGTACATTGTCCTTGAAAATGTGCGACTGGAACTCTGTCATCCAGTTTAAATTAAATACATTTATTTAGGGACACGACAGTGCTATTTGTGGCGAAAGCATGAGGTCTACAAATAAGACTTTCAAGTCTTACGGCACCAGAGGGTAAAATAATGAACTGTATTATATTTACAAGTCGTAATCAAACATTGTGTATAGACACGTAATTCTACAATAGATACTAAATGACGTATATGCTCAAAGGAGGAATCCCAAATATATTTTAGTGAATACAACTACTTAATTTTGTGTGACAAACTAGGAACTTTTATCCTAGTCCTGTCAACTATTTGAAATTCTGTGGTCTTTTTTCCAAGACATACCAACTTCCAATTTCTACGTGATCGAGGCGAATATCATACATTTGAACAATAAAATTCCTGAACACTTGGAGCTGAAGATTTCATACAAGGCCAATTTGGTATTTGATTTGTATTCTTGAACTCACTTTTATCAACGTATACCCTATGGTTTTGTTAACAAAATGGCCGATTCCCCACTGGATGACTTATCAATGCCATGATATCCAGTCTATCAATGAGAACATGCTGGCCATATTTGTTCAAACCAAATATAATGTAAGGCTTATTTTCATCACCAATTCCTGACACATAAATTGAAAAAAAAATCGAAATTTCTTTTTGATTGCTTGATAATTTTGTTTGCTAAACTGACAGAGACATGACCCTGCCCTGCGGACAAAAAACTTTATTTATTCGTAACCCAGATAGATTATTACAAAAAGATTACTAAAAGCAGGGAACATGTACATGCGTTCAGATATAACTTATCATGAAGCCCCGAACACTTTCTATACTTTAAAGGAGTTAAACCTCTTTCAATTAGGTCAAAACTGGGCATTGAATTGGGTTGATTTGATATGCTTGATTGAGAGTAAGTATGTTTGGTTGCCAATATTACTTCAGTTTTGAGCTTACCCTGCCTCAAAAATGGCTTTACCTGCCATCCCACCAAACAAATAAACATATAATATCCAATGAAATCGCCAAATGCATTTTTGACCCAAATCAAAAATAATTCTTAGTCAGTTTTAGAAAGGTTACAAATTTGAGTAAAAAATGTCTTGTCCTGACAATACCTCGCCAAACAGGGCTATACGACCTGATAAAATGGGAGTGGGTGCGACAAAACAAAATCTAGTCTGGGAAAAGCCTGTATCAATAATATATAGCCTTAAAGGTCCGCGAGAAGATTAACTGCAAAACATTATTTATTGTATGTCTGCAACCCGTTGTGCCAATTGTATGAAAATTCCATCTCTTAATGATCGAGCTAAAACACCGACACCTCTTATTTCACTGTATAACTACAACATGAGGTAAAATCATATTATTTCACACAACATGCAGTGTTTTTCAGCCGCGCTCGAGCTCCTTTAAACACTCATTTGACAAGTAAACAATACGTTTGGAGTTGTCACAAACCAGACAAACGTACATGATAAATTGTATTATTAAATATTACTACAATAATGTACACAAGACAACGTCGTAATCATAGATTAATCAAATAATTATACTTCAATATATATAAAGAAATAATAACAAAAGTTTCTGAGGTTCATTAGCTCTTTATCAGTCTGAGTGTCACTCCAGTTTCAAATTCACAAAAAGTCTTTTCACTCAAAGAACTCTTTGACTTACCCAACCTCATAGTCTCGATTATCAAATAATATAAGTCCATTATACACCCGACATGAACAACACCGAACTATAGGCAGTATCAAATAAATTACAGCATTAGGGGTTACCATAATATATAGTCTCTGGCACAATTTCAAAACTTTTAAGTGCGCGTTGATGTTACGTCACACAGTGACGTCACTATTTTTGTTAGTCCTCTCATTTATATTTATTTTTAATTTTATCTGCATTTGCTGAGGTTGAGCGTTTTTACACAGGTTTTACACTTCACATAACAACACCAATAATATTTACACTCGCAACGCTCCATAACCTCCATCTTAAAATTGTCATAGCCACGCCCACAACACATGACGTCACACCCGCCTGAACCTGGACTAGTGTTATCGCATAATCTGAAATGTAAAATCATTTAAATATGTATTAAAAGTGCAACAGATGTTTGTTAGATATGTGAACTCCCAAAATGATACAATAATCTTAACTGGAGTTTCAGAAGCCGAAGTTACTGAGCAGAAGAAAGCCTGGGGCCAAAGGTCATCACCCCCATGTGGTCACTTGTCCAGGGGCGCGGAGCTTAGAAGGGTCCTAAGGTATGCCGAGTAATGTTCAAATAAAAAATGTTGGTATAAATTAATCATAATAAAAAAAATATACTGTTACTTGATCGTTAAGTAGAAGAAAATCGGTGAAGAAAAATCGAAATCTTTCCCAATTGCGGACCTTTTCCCGACCAATTCATCATTAATATGTTCGGGAGAAGCTTGTTATTCGTTCGGCAATATGTAAAATCTCAGTTTCTGTGTTTTAGCAAATTGACCTCCAGTTACCCAAGATTTACGCCAAAATTACAATTGAGACCATTATCTTTCAAAACATTTCAAGCCCTGCCCCTCCCCAATGCAAATCCGTATCGTGTTTCAATCTCAAAAAAGATGACACGCTTACAAATCAATGGATAACTATTTTAATCCAAGATGTTAACTAAGGCCCCAAAGATGGAAAATATGAAACCTTCAAATGTCTTATAAGAGCTTTATGACCGCAACGAATCAAATAATAGCAGAACAGTGACAGGTAGCAGGAATTCACACATGAACTCCATTTGTCCGAACTGGAGAACGATGCATCTTTTTAAGTCAGATTGAAAAGGCATTGCTCAAAGAGTTTTCAAGTTTTGGGATCTATAGTGACTTCAATAGACAGATTGGTTAATTTATGTTAACGTTTGATCCTTCATATCACTAAATACTAGTATCGTCTAAGGACATGTCTTAAAGGTCCTTCACTTAAGTGGTCAACTAAGAGGGGATGAAATATCTTCCCTGAGGTAAGCCGTGACTTGTTGACCACACACCAACATTATTGGCTTGATTATAATAATAGCCATAAGGAAAGTTCAGTTCAATTCAAAACCCCTGTCGATAAACGATATCTATACACTCACTGGTTTTATACGTTCTGAAAAGGGAACACATTTATGTTTTGGCCAAGAAATTCTCTGAAATTTTTCTTTGCTCATCGGTTTTTGTTTTCGGCAATACTGTTCATGATATTACATTTTGGGCACAATAAGAATTAAATGTTAGTAAAATAATTAGTTCAATAATTTGTTCCATGGTTCAAAACCACTGTGTAGTTTCGCCAATCAAGGGACACATATCTACCTCTGTGACATGGTTAAAATGCACTTCCTAAAGGGAGGTTATTTGTTTTAAATAAACCCCAAATATCTCGATTTCTGATAATATTTTTGTCTTCAAACACATTATATAATAAATAAATACAAACCTATTCTGTGTTCCTATGGAACCACTTTTAGGATCCGGATTACAATAATCTGGCGACTTAGTATAATATATAAGTTCATCTGATCGAATTGATTTTTTATTTGCCATAATAGGAACTAGAACTTTTTGTTTTTTCTTTCGTTTTCTTTTCACCTCCACTGCTAAAGCGTATCTGTTTTTTAACGTTGCTCCGATAGAATCAAAATCTGGCAGTGCTTTCCAACACGTTTTTATTGAACACGATCCAGAGACACCGTGACACTTGCAAGCTGTTGTTAGACTAAATTCTACTACCTAAAACAGACAAATAAACATTTGAATTACTCCAGACACATCGTTCTAGTCTATACGACAAACAATTACCTTATTTATGTAAGATACATAAAGATGGCAGTGTGTAATGAACAGAAAACCGTGCAATCATAAGGGAAACGTTATTACATTCGTTTTTTTTTGTGTAGGATAAAGCATAACCGACATCGAGGATTTTATCTTGCCTATAACCCGTATATGCTTACATGTACGTAATATGAGAATATCCCAGAATTCCAGTATGAAAAACCATATATCATGTTTTCTTATGGGAAAAGCCCAGTTCGGAGCAGAACAGTCGGGCGTAAAACCCCATTTTATTTCTTATGGAAAAAAAACCTACCCTGGAAGAATAACCCGTTACAGGTTTAAAAAAAAACATTCAGAAGAATAACCCCAAAGTCACCTGTATATATATCCCCGCGACTTTCAGACCGCAAGTTATTCCGGGCATAGAATAACTCCAAAGATCAAAGAGATTTGCCGTTATAGGTTTATAAGTCAAGGCAAATAACCACAGAACTTTTAAAAAAGAAGAAAAAACCTTGAACAATCAATGTGTAACGCTAAACGTTTAAAGGGTTCTAGGCATTCGTAGAAACTATAAACGATCATAATGTAAGTCAGAAATGGTGGATTTTATGGTAATACTCGGACGAAGAGTACGGATAGCCTAGTAATGAGTTTTAATTAATAAGCATTTTTATTGATAAGTAAGCCAGACGACACGGGCCGTAATCACAATTTAAAACTATTCAATACAAAATGTCAATACATGAATTGGTAGTTAAACATACATAATGCAAGAGCCAAATCTGCCCATCGCAGGTCTTTCAATAGGCCTGCATTGTTATCCAAATTATTAATTAGTCATTAATTAACGTATCCAGGCCATAATCAACCCTCGATGGCATCGGATTTCTTCTATATTAAATGGATTAGAACAGTTCAGCCATATTTTGATTTGAGCGAGACTTAGCTTCGAACAACCAGTACGGTGGTTGAAATTATTGCACACGTCTTGTCAAACCTTCAAAGGCTAATGTCCTCGCTCGCAATAGAGTAATTTGAATGAAATTTTCAAATTATTCATTTTACATTATCTATTTTAGAACTATTATAGCAAGAATGGCTAGCTCTTTATCTAAATCTTACATAATGTATCTTTAATACATTTGCTTTTCAGTCGGCGAAATAAGCGAACACTGGGACCATTGGATCTATTCGTGCATTATTATTATACTGTTACCATGACACCCCTTGAATATCCTTAATTTCTGGAGACATTTCTTAGGGAATATGTTCTTTGGTCGTTATTGATTGAATAAGTATGCAATTATCATTTCCGTAAGTAGGGATGGATGTAGGCTGGTTATTGAATAATAAATCAGTCATCATTTACGTATATAAGGGTGTAGGCTGGTTATTGTATAATTATTCAATCATTATTTTCGCATGTGAGGATGTATACTTGTTATTAAATAATCTGGAAATGAAATTGGGTTTGACGTCCGATGTTTCTGCACCAACCGGGTTGATGAAGACCGTGTGCTATGAGGAAAGTTTTCCTGAACAGCCACGTTCCTGTCCACTCTTCATCGTATTCTGTGTGTGCAAGAAACTTCTGTTTGTCGTCACATAGGCACCATTATTAACCATCTCCAGTTCTACTGCATATGGGAAACCAGTCGGACAAATCCTCAGATACCATAAAATCTCGGTCAACTCCGGGACTGAACTCGGGACTGCATGGTTAGTTAATTGAGGTTTTATACTGTCAGGGTACGATCGATATACAACAAAGATCAAGGTTATGACTATAGGTTGGGAATTCAGAATTACCAGAAACGATGTCCATTCTAAAAAAAATAAAATTATCACCACTCCTGAGTGGATCCGATCGTGTCTAGAACCGATGTAGACACGTGTGAAAGGTTTACTGCCAATTCTGGAAAGCATTTTAACAATCGCCAGTACACAGAGGATCCGATCATGGTCTACTCTAAGCAATTCTGAATGTCACATATCAAATAAATATATTCTAATATCAATAAAGATAGCCAAAGAATACAAAACAATCAGATCGCAGGGATGTAACAGTAGCAAAATATTGGTCCCCTGAACATTAAAAGCACAACATGCCAACACGTTCATATTTATTACAAATGTCAAAAATAAGATTGTTATTATTATTGAATTACGTGTATACCAATTTTATACAAAAAACCTCAATGAAGAATGGATTGGTTTGTACGACAAAGGTAGCATAATTATTATAAGTTTATTTATCTAAGACACAAGAAGGTGGCGTGTACAATTAATAGAAACCAATGTGAACTTTAAATGTATGGCAAGATCTTAAAGATAGAATTAACAAATTTTAATAGAATTTACTTTGATTGTAGTGTATGGTCTGAAAGGGACAGTCCAAGATTTCATGGGCTGATTTAAATAAAGGTGGTTTAAGTATGAACAGAAATAGTAGGTTTACTTCGTCTGAAAGTTCAAATCAAAATGTTGAGCTGTTTGGAAAAGATCGCTAAATTGTTTTAGTGGGGTTACGTAACTCATTAAGGAATCTTATTAATCATTATTCAGATATTTACACAGTGTGAATATAAGTTTCTTTCACGTAGAATTAATAAGTTTCATTCACTAAAATATATTTGATATATATATATACAGTTACTTTAAAACTTCACATTCAGGCCTGGTGGGGCTCTACGGTAGTAAGAGGCAATACACAGTAAGATACTTCACTTCATATTCCCTATTATACTTACGTTAAGCAGATCAAGATTAAAGGCTGTAGAAGCTTTTTCATAACCCCACAATCAATTGACATTTATCATGTTAACGAGCAGGGGATAGTTGGTGCCCAGGTAGCGTAACTTCTCCTCTAATATCAACAAGATGTGAAAGATTAGATATAATCGCTCTGTAAGGTACTTATCTAAACTATAATACATTACCATATTTCTGCCATATAGAACACCTTGTCGTTTTCCTTAATCATATTAATATCATTTCTCCAGGCTTATCAGATGTATGTCTACAGTTAATAGTCTAACAGCCTTTTATAATCTATATCGTTAATAGTTTGTGTTAGTGAATTTTTATATAAGTTATCCTATTTTTTAAAAGATTAATAGGTTACAATCTTAAGATGTCACCCTGGAAATGCACACTTTCAATGCCTTCTTTACTGACATTATCCATTTTTAAGTATTAATTTACACACATAGTCTTGTTGAGCTTTTACAATTTTAAACTGTATAATTTAGTAATTTATTTCATTAATGGTAGGTCTTTATCCAATTTTGTAAAGTCAAAGGATCATGCGTTTAGTTTAGATCTTGAATATCTGCTGACCCCGAATACCAAATTTCAGCGCTATCTTTTATAAATAAAATTTTATAGAAAAACTACAACTAATCATTACAGTTGAATTCCTAAACGCTTTAATGTCCAATTCTTTCAATCTCTAATTGAATACGATGCCCCCATTTGAATTCCACTGTTGACACAAAAATATTCAAGTTATCAGAAAGTTTGTTTTTGAATGACAAGAAATATGTTTAGATGTTATGGTACCAACACCACACCCCCCCCCAATATTTTAATTGAACTTTGTGATGAAACATAGCTATTTTCGCGAATACATGGTGAAGAAATATACGGCGGTACTTCAATATCCAAACTGGATCCTCGTCTAAAAATATCTGAGTTTACACATCAATATATCCTCTAGCTCTAGTCAGTGTGATAAGCTACCCCCGATAACATGTCAGCTAACAATTTGTTGCAAATAATTTATAAAAATATTGGTACAAAACCAAATGTATTTTCCCATCTTCCATTCCGTGCATAGTTCTGTAGATTCCACATTTATCATGAATTCCGTTCACGGCGAGTGCAGGTGGCAGTGTTGTGAAATAGAAACTACCGTATTGTTGTGCCAGAGGCAAGCATAGTAGTAACAATCGATGAAATACTCCGCGAAAGAAAAGAAGACCAGATGTTGATCCATTTTGTTTTTGTAATAATTGAAACAAAATATCAAACCACAAGGGCAAGAATGTATCAAGCAGATACCGCAGTGCTCATTGGAACTAACAAATTACAAAGTAACGCTATCTTCCGCAATAATAATTGGAATGGTAGAAGACGCTGCTATCAAGTTAGTCCTACTCAATCTTGATTTTTTTTCTGCTAAGGCGTCACTATCGTGCCCTGCTAAATTTTCCACGACGGGACCTCTTGTTTTGGTTCCACCAGAACGAATTGACACAGGCGTTAACTGTTAGGAAACTGGCTTAAAAATCCCTACAGTCCTTCTGCAGAACGCGCGAAGATGTACCGCCAAGGTGATTGCTCAGAAGGGATACGTTTAATCGTAAAGTAGTTCTGCGAGAGTGGTTGTTGCAAGTTCTTACAAAACCTAGTTTTGTGTCGATCTAAATGGCGATATGGAGGTTGACAACGATTATTTTGATTTACTACAGAAAAAAATGAAATGGCCAATTGGGATTCAAGCCATCTTATTCAGTCGTAAGTCACGTGCCGGTTTATGACGCGATATCAAGATTTCACACCTTGGTGTTAAAATGAGGAGGATTTAAATTTACCCGAAAGGAGAACATTTTATTGGGTATAAATTCTATTTTAATGTTTCGGGTAACCAAGAAGTTAAATCCTTATATGAAATCCAGTTATAATTTTGTTTATCGGCCGTAAGGGTCAATGATCGTACTGAGTGTCATGAATGTCAGGTCAGCGTTTGGTTAGTCTGTACCTAGAGCAAACATATCCTAATGTGAACTTGCATTGTGTTCAGTATCCATGAAGTCTTTGTGGTTTCAAATAGTAAGCACAGGGGGTCAGAACCACATATAACTAGAAACGCACAAGACAAACACATTGACAAAGAAAAGTGAGTCATGGAATAATGATATATAATCAAATGAATGGGTTCCTGGTCGAACGCAATAATCCACTACCCGGACGCAAGCCTAATTGATCGTAAGCGAAATAAATGACTGAAGTCAACATTGGAAAAGGGAAATCAGGACTCCCTGACCAAACGAGAATTGATGATACCGATCCCTTACCCTGGAGTGTCACTTGTCCGTAGCAGTAACAAGTCTTTTTGACCGAAACTTCTTCTTTGGAGTACATTTGTTTTATACACCATACGTTTTCTCCAACTACAACACCCGAGGGACACGACTCGATGATAACTACGCTGTCTTGGGGAATGAGTGATATATTTTAAATATTGCCACCCATTCTATAGTCCAGACAATCCGTTTAAAGGTCTCAAAATATTGTTTGATTAAAAAATACAAAAAAATCCTTTTAGCTATATGAACTCTTCACATAACTCTGCGCGCTGTATCATTAAGTCTGTCATTGAGTCAACTGGCGTGGTTTCGAATCCCCGGTTGTACGTGACAAGGAGTAGGGTCGCCTGTCCAACCTCGTGGGTTTTCTCCGGGTCCTCCGGTTTCCTCCCACTGCTAAAGACCCCTACGCGCAAGCGAATTATGGAAATAAAATTGAACCATATGTTAGTCCCGAAATGACCTAGTTTGTGTCGAGTGGACGTTAAACCCCATTTCTCTCTCTCTTTCACATAACTTGACAGTTGGAATTCGAAAGAAGAGTAGGCCGTTATAGAATTCGATATAAGAGTGGGATGCTGTCCGTGCAAAATTTCCGTCGTAGCACACTGTATGGCGTATGCCCGTCTTCACTAGGCCAGTCGGTGCAGACATGTAGGACGTTAAACCCGATTTTATTTCATTACATAGGAGAAATGTTATCGGATGTTTAGCACGACACCCATCACCACAATTGCTAACAGGGTCGGTCGATTTCAGACCCTTCCATCATTAAAACTGATACAGGAATGTCACCAATAATATGATATTCCACGCACAAGTCAATTGCGCAGGATCACAACAACACATTCCCAATACAAAACTTTAAATTTGAGAATTACTTACTTTTCTACCCGCTGCAAAATTATGTCTGTTCATCATGGCTTTCTTTGAAGATTTGGATTTCCCTTTTTTTGATTTTAAAGAAGCATCTGTAAAAGCTTTTCCCCACCCTAAACCGAAGTGAACGTCGTCCCCACAACCACCCCATTTAAAAGCTCCATTGGGTGCTGTGTTGGGTAAAGCTCCGCAGCTACATTTAGTTGTTACACCAATACTGCATGCTCTAGCTACAGAATGAGATAATGCTGCTGATGCTATACCATAAACATAAGCTTGTTCACGAGTACCTGTTTAAATACAAATATATCATATTATTATATATTTAATCGTATAAAGGCACGCACATATTTTTGTGGACTGTCATTGGGATTCATAAATAGTATCACGTGTTTTCGGAGGAAAGATACACCAAGCATCGTGTTCTTCTGCCTAAATAATGCATTTTCTTAAGTTTCTGCAGTTTAGGAAATACTATATGTGTAGACAATCTTTCAGCTACTGATCATATGCAGAGGCTTTCCATTACTATTAAATAGGCTGCCCTGTGAACGACACTCGACAATGTTTTTTTAAAACATAAGTTTAATCGCATGGAACTCGTATCGCAGTATAACTCCAGTCTCGAGATCTTAAATGGTATCCAAGATTTGGAAACTTTGAGACCTCCACGTGTTTCATTGTGGATTATTGTGATGAGTGTGATAACTTTCGAAAGCTGAATGGTTGTTCTTTCTCGATTTTTGATTGTGCTGTATATCGTTGTTAGCTCTGTCTGGAAATTCATAAAAACTGTATATCGTGGCTTTTGAAGGGTTCAGCTATTTTGGACTTTTGAGATAGAACCAGAATGTAACATAACGATTGGTATACTTAACCACCGCCAAATTGTAACATATTGTATACATCAAGAAAAGTTGTATGATAATGTGTGTTAAGTCTTTTTCTCGTTATGTGGTTTTGAAACTTTATGAGTTGCTTTATCACATAAATAATGGTAATGGTCCGAGAAACACACAGTCCATTTTTTAACTAATCTGCTGTAGGTAACTGGATTCCCGGTTGTCGAATTTTTATATAAGTTCAGTAGAGATTCATATTATCCCTTTAACTAAGGTTACTGACTTTTTTCTCGGAAATATATGATTGTATAATTTCCACACAAACTTACTATACAGTTTTAATTAATCATTTCAGTGGATTTTCTGAAGATGAATCTAAAAGACTGTCCATTCTCGCCAGGTCGAGCAACTCACATGTTATATTCCAAATCTTCACCATTTCAACAAAACGATAATTGATCTGAAGAAAGACTTACCTCGTGACAAATCTCGTGGAATAGTTGGAACTTGAGAAATGGAGGAACAGTTCCATCTTCTGTCTGAGAATTGACTTTGACATGTTTCTATTGACAATAAAGAAGCACCTACAATCGTAGGCATTATTTCTAAGTGGTCTTTACATAAACGTCTTTGTCTGGGCAGAAGACCAGATGCTTTTACACAATGTTTTTGACTTTCCCACTCTTTATGTTTGGATTTATATAATGCCCTGAAAAAAATGCATAAAAAGAATAATTAATAATAATAATAGTGATTTTAAATTTGGAAATTAAGGTCTAAAGTCATGAAATATGGCTTGTTTCTGGTAAAATATGTGATTGGTAGTACGAGTAGTATCCACCGAGTCCGTTTTCCTCTCACTGTTAAAAGACCCCTGTATTGAAATAAAATTGAACCGTACTATTTTAGTGTGCAGTGGCGATTACCCCCCCTCTCTCTCTCCAAACCTCTCTCTCTCTCTCTCTCTCAACCTAGCTAATGTAATTATAAAATGATAAATTATGTAATTGAAAGTAGTATCAAGTAGTATGGTGCCGTTTTTTTTTTTTAACAATTCTTTTTTTATTGCATATTATGTTGTATTTTGTGTAAGTAATTACAAATTACTAAAAAAAGATGCGAAAATGTTCATTTTGGAACATCAGCTCCTATAGTGCACACATTGTTTAAGAAAATTTCTCAACGAGCAATATCATGAAGTATTTCCTTTAAACGCCCACATTTTGCAAGAGATGGATACAGAACGTGCTAAAAAAAAAGCGATTTTTCGTACAATCAGTCCATCAACCAGGAAGTTGGGGTCCAATACGTGCAAATATCGACAGGTACCCAGATCTTTGGGATATGAACATATGTTTTAAATTTAATCAAAATCGGATAAAAATTGTGATCTCTAGAGCGTTCACAACCTTCGTATTACAGACTTATACACTATTGGTCGGGCAGTTTTGGTCCGATTTTCAAGAAATTCGAACTCAAATGTCATTATATTCTAACGGTGATACATTTTAATGTTTTTTTTTTTAAATCGGATCAAAATTGTGACCTCTATACAGTCCACAAGCTAAAAAAAAAAGTGATTTTTCGTATAATCAGTTGCCATAATCCAAGCAGTTAGAGTCCGATACGCGCAAAAATCGAAAGGAAGCAAGATCGTTGGAACCGTATATTCCAAGGTTCATGAAAATCGGATTGAAATTGTGACCTCTAGGGAGTCCACAGCCTTGGAATTACATACTTTTACTTGCGTACGGGGAGCAGTCACTTTGTCGGCCAGTTTTGGTCCGATTTTCACAAAATTCGAAGTCAGCTGTCATTATGATGTAACGGTGATATACTTTAACAATTTTTCGAATCGGATAAAAAAATGTGACCTCTAGAGGATCCACAAGCTAAAGACGCGATTTTTCGCACAATCAGGGGCCATAATCGAAAGGTACGAGATCTTACGGTTATAAACGTACACTTTAAGTTTCATCAAAATCGGGTAAAAATTGTGACATCTAGAGTCTCCACAAGCTAAAAACATGATTTTTCGTATAATCAGGGGCCATAATCGACGAGATTACGATCCGATACATGCCAATATCGAAAGGGGCCGAGATCTTTGGGATATAAATTTATATTTCAAGTTTCGTAAAAATCGGAGACATACGAGTAAGTCCACATGTCTGGAATATATATATTAAGGAGCGATTTTCCTCGAGTAAAAAGCATCAGGTACGTCGTAAGAAATTGGTTCTCTGTTTCATACGGAACATATTTTATAACAGCAGGGAATTTATTTATCATGTTAGCTTACTTTGTTTGATTGCCTTTACGAAACACTCTGCTACAAAGTTTTTTTTAATAACCCAACTGTTTATTTCACGTGCGGAATTGTACGTTTTAGTGGCATGGGTGAATTTATGAAATCTGGCTTAGGCTTCCCGGTATTAAATCCTCAAACTTTATAATGGTATAGCGTTTGTAGAACCAGATTTCAGTAGACTTAGCCTTGTGGATTATGTTAATGAGAACAAAGAAAAAAAATAAACATCATTAAAACAAATAGTTTTATCAGTATAAAACTAGTAAAGTATGCACATATAATCGTCTGATATCAGGACTACAGACACATTACAAATACACAACAAAAATTGTGTCCTTTTTCCTATCTTTTTTGTTGAGAAGTTATTTGGCATTAGCTTTTATGATCGCTGCACCAAGAGTTATTTAAGAGCAGAACTAGGTACGAGGTTTAAGATTAATTGCTATACAATAGATAAAAGCAACGCAATTAAACGCAAAACGTTTTCTTAATTCACAACCCAAACTCATAACATGTGGATATTCACTAAATAACATGATTGATATAAAGTCTGATGTAAAATATGGACGAGGATCGAGTTGACTAGGTAAAACGGTACTTGTATTTTACAGTTTAATATTCCTAAAGTCAGACAGTTACTGTCCTTTTTACGATCAAATATAGAAATAAAAAGCTAAAATAATTTCCACAGTTGCTGCATTTAATGACGGAGTTTTACGACCGGAAAAGCGCCTGAGTGAATTTTCAGCAGACGATCAAAGATGGCGGCGCCTGAAATGCGAGCAAATGTGTGATATCAAACACATCCCCAGTCAGTGGAAGAGATTATTAAAAAAACGAAATGCATAAAACTTTCATAGACGACCACATTATTACGGGTGATATGAAAAATGTTTTACTGTTTCGCTGTATCAAAGCATTCTTAGATTCCTAAAATCGATTTCCGCGAATCCAGTGAATTTGAGATTATGTTAGGCAATGCCCATCTATAGACCTTCAGCCTAAACTGTCTCTAAATCCTCAATATAGTATCTCAACGGTCTTAGAATGGCGATAAGTAACAGCATACAAATAAAATAATCTATTGGAATTTCATTTTGTAAAGGGGTTCCTGGAATAGTACATCTATAAGGACGTATAGAGTTGGAAACATCTACATAATACCAAGTATTAAATCAATCCAAAGAGCTTTAATATTTCCGTTTGTTGACCAATCAACCACCAAGTGAGTCATATGTATTACAAATAGTCAATCATAAATAATACAAGTACACACAACTTTTAAAACCAAGGACATTAACATACTCCTCGCAGTGTTTCGTTTGATTAAAGCTAATCTCATTTAACACTGCTGTAATGGAAGCAAATTGCTGTTCCAAATTATGACTGGTCAATAGTCCGATTAACAATCAATAGCTAACTGCGTAACAATATCATTACGCTTTAAACAGAGCTCCATGCCCAATTTACCAGTGCATAGCGAATATTTCAGAAAAACTAATTGTGTGACAAAGGAGGCTATCAACACGCATATAATATAAACATTACTGTTTGGAGACGAACAATACTTTCACCGTTTTTAATACCTTAAATCACTGTCCAAAGTTTTAGGGAAGACCTCAGATTAAACGATGGGCTGTCATGTTGCTGTACTTGAGACAGATTTGATTGAACATGAAGAATATACACACTCCTTCAAAAGCTCAAGTATCAGAAGCCAATCCAGCAATGGCCAGAGAGTAATTTCTCGGGCTATCGTTTCGGGAATAATGAGGACTAATTACGTTCAATTGTTTTCACATGTTTTATCTGAATGTAGGTCTTTAATTTAGCTAGAGAGCATTTTAACATTAACCAGTTAGTTCACATGTTAGCATCAGTTAGACACCCATTCTGTCGTATTCTATGGTTCAAACGTCCATCCGCCAGGGTTTTCCTTAACTCCCACCACTCGCAAAATAATAGAGAATATCACAGGCACGTTCCTAAAGAGTATTTAGATATTTCTAAAAAGACCACCAACTTTCACAACTTATCGATGTGGAAGAAGGGTAGTTGGATCTCGAAAAGTAGCTTTAGAGTAATGGCCAGCAAGATAAAGTATTCTGAGCGAAGTGCTAATATAAACAATGTCTCGATTAAACAATTTTAGATTAAAGAAGTCAAAACCAAGACCTGCAATAGGCAGATTTAGCTCTTACATAATGCAACTTTTAAAAAATTCAACTTTGACACATAATCTACCTAACACAATGGATTAAAAGCAATACCTTCTCAAGAAAAAACACAAATCAATAAACGTAAACTACATAATTAGTTTCAACGTCATCTCATTTGTGCCCTTCCTGGTGAAAAATTCTCCACGAGGAGAATAAAACCTCTTCAAACAAATACATCTAAATATAATTAGGGATTTCGTAAACATTTAAAAAATTATCGATAAATTTAAAGTGTCCATTGATGCATAAAATACCCTGTTAACTTCAGAATGGTCTACATATGGACAGTTCACAAATCACGACATATATTTCATTTACCTAAAACGTAAGCGCCACATTTTGTTATATATTAATGCGACTTTTGAGCACTGAGATTCGTTATAGATGTGGATCATTTTTTAGAAAGCGCAAAGTTTAGATCTTAAGGATTATTTCTGCAATGAAAATAAATAATAAACAAAAACCGACTTGAATCTATTTAAATACAAGATATTTAAATATAAACAACAACAATATGATTTACAAAACAAAAATAGTCGCCAATACGTTTAAAATTATCGTCCGAATCGTGTACTCAGTCGAAATATTTGAATTTATTGTTCCGATATGATATTTTGACCTGACGCTTCGGTTTCTTACCAAAAAGTTTATATCGAACTATTCTATAGAAATCAAGGATTCATTTGTACTTTTCATTTGATCAAACAGAATTAGTTTTAAAGCAACTAGTATTTCCAGATTTAGCAAATCTTCCAGTAATCTATATATATTATTTTTATCGTCCGTGTACTGAACGATTTATTTTAAAATAATTGAAACGAAAGGTTATATTTTAAAATAGTTGGCAAATATTTCAATAAATTTGTGTTAAAAGAAATTAATTCAGGAAAAATAAATTAAAAATAGGTTTAATTCTATTCTTTGAATGGCATTTAGTAATTGGAACATAATCAAAAACACACTTTTATGGATAACAATTACTATGGTTTAATTCTCTAAAACTGATTGGCATTATTTATATTTAGAAAAATGACAATTTAGAATCTAAGAACATATAATAAAATATAATTTGCTTATAGGTCCGCTGTAATAAAAAAATTAAAATATATAATATATAATATAAATATACACGTCATTAGTAGCTTCATAAAAAAAAGGAAGAACACATCCTTAAGTATT